GCCAGAAGCAGGGGCAGCCCTGACAGCGAGGAACAGGCATTGTTCCAAGATCTGCTGTCCCCCTGGCTTCTCCTGCTGTCTTATCTGCTCTGAGGGGAGCCAACTGGCACAGATGGGTGAGCAGCCCCATGAAGGCCCATAGGGCAGGGAGCTGAGAGCAGCGGGGGCAGCCTGTGGAGCTAACAGGAACCAAGGCAGCTCCAAGGGGCGCCTGCAGCCGACAGCCCGTGAGAAACTGCCTCCTGCTGACAGCCACGGGAGGGAGCTGGGAAGCCAGGCCTTCCCCAGCCAAGCCTTCAGATGAGCCTGCAGCCCTGCTGACAGCCTGATGGAGGCCTGCAGAGCAACCAGAGGACCCAGCTCCACTGGGCCCCATTCCTGACCACGGGAATAATAAGGAGATAAAAGATGGCTGCAGTTTTAAGCCACTTAAAAAAGTAAGGAAGAAAAAAGACTCTTGGTCTCATAATTCCATTTCTGGAAATGGGTCCCAAAGAAACAGAAATGTTGAAAAAGCCTTAAAAATCATGATGTTCATGAGGGCGGGGCGTGGTGGCTCACACCTGTAATCCCAGGACTTTGGGAGGCTGAGGTAGGTGGATTACCTGAGGTTGGGCGTTCCAGACCAGCCTGACCAACATGGAGAAACCCCATCTCTACTAAACATACAAACTTAGCCAGGCGTGGTGGCACATGCCTGTAATCCCAGCTACTCGAAGGCTGAGGCAGGAGAATGGCTTAAACCTTGGAGGTGGAGTTTGCAGTGAGCCGAGGTCGCACCATCACACTCCAGCCCAGGCGACAAGAGCGAAACTCCGTCTCAAAAAAAAAAATCGTGATGTTCATGATATTATTATTTATAACAGCAAAACGGGAGTACAGGGACAACCTTAACATTCGATGAGAAGGGCACGACTAATTAAATGGAAGAATAGCTTCTTATTGGATACCATGCCACCACTAAAAAGATGAGTTCTTTATGAAGTCTTTTAAATAAAACAAGGCCAGGCATGGTGGCTCATGCCTGTAATCCCAATACTTTGGGAGGCTAATGGTGGCGGATCACTTGAGGTCAGGAGTTTGAGACCAGCCCAGCCAACATGATTAAACCCCATCTCTACTAAAAACACAAAAATAAGCCAGGCGCGGTGACGCACATCTGTAGTCATAGCTACTTGGGGGGCTGAGGCAGGAGAATAGCTTGAACCTGGGAAGCAGAGGGCACAGTGAGCTGAGATGGTGGCACTGACTCCAGTGAGACTCTGTCTCCAATCAATCAATCATCAATCAATCAATCAAATGGAAACACTTATGTTAAATAACAGAGTCCCAGCCAGGTGCGGTGGCTCACGCCTGTAATCCCAGCACTTTAGGAGGCTGACGTGGGAGGATCACCTGAGCTCAGGAACTTGAGACCAGCCTGGGCAATATGGTAAAACCCTGTCTGTACAAAAAATACAAAAAATGGTCCGGGCATGGTATCATGCACCTGTAGTCACAGCTACTCAAGAGGCTGACGTGGGAGGATCACCTGAGTCCAGGAAGTCAAGGTTGCAGTGATCCATGACTCTGCCATTGCACTCCAGTCTGGGCAACGAAGTGAGACCCTGTCTAAAAAAAAAAAAAAAAGCACCAAACTGTAAATATCATATGAACACATCCCCATTAGACCCACAAAGAAAATGCTACTTTAAGCATAGCAAATAGGTCAGAAACAAGTTCACCAAAATGTTTATAGTGATGGTTTCTGTGCGGAGAATTATGGGTGATTTTTTCCTTTCTAGTTATTTTATTTTATGGTATTTTTGAGATGCCTGGCTGGAGTGAAGCTCAGGCTGGAGTGCAGTGGTGCAATCTTGGCTCACGGCAATCTCCACCTCCCGGGTTCAAGCAATTCTCCTGCCTCCGCCTCCTGAGTAGCCAAGATTACAGGCACCCACCACATGCCCAGTTAATTTTTGCATTTTGAGTAGAGATGGGGTGGCTGGGCGTGGGGGCTCACTCTTGTAATCCCAGCACTTTGGGAGGACGAAGCAGCTGTATCACCTGAGGTCAGGAGTTTGAGACCAGCCTGGCCAACGTGGTGAAACCTTGTCTCTAGTAAAAATACAAAAATTAGCCAGGCGTGGTGGCAGGCGCCTATAAACTCAGCTACTCGGCAGGTTGAGGCAGGAGAATTGCTTGAATCCAGGAGGTGGAGGTTGCGGTGAGCCGAGATCACGCCACTGTACTCCATCCTGGGCGACAGAGTGAGACTCCATCTCAGGGGGTTGAGGGGCAGGAGAAATAGAGACAGGGTTTCACCATTTGGCCAGGCTGGTCTTGAACTCAGGTGATTCACCCGCCTCGGCCTCCCAAAGTGCTGAGATCACACGTGTTAGCCACCTCGCCTGGCCCCTTTCTAGTCATCCTAGATTCAGACTTCTATCGTGAGCAGTCACCTGACTGTAAATTCCTGTGGTCAGGGCTAAGTCACCTCGGTGTCACCCCGGTTTCACCCTGGTGCCCCAGCACCTAGCGTGACGCTAGCTTGATTTTTGCAGCATGAAGAAGTGAGCATGGCACTTACAATGGAAAAAAAGCCCAATAGAAGTTATTTAACTAAAAACATTCACTTTCCTGGCAGTCAAAGTTGGAGCCACCCTGGAGAGCTGGGTGTGGTGAGCACACAGGCCCGTCTGTTAAGCTCTGCCAGCGGGGGCTCCTGACCCACGCCCAGCACAAGCAGCTGGAGGTCGGCCTCAGGGCCTGACAGCGCCCAGGAAGGATCCAAAACACCCTGCTCCACCCAGCAGCACTGTCCTCACCTGCACATCGCCCTGCGCCCTCCCGGCCTGCACTTCTGAGTGAGGTCACGCCCTGAGGTTTCAGAGCAAACACAACCTTCAGGACAATTTGACTAGAAAATTCAGGCCAAAAATCCATCCTGGGACCTTGGCTGCAGTATGGATTTTGTTGTTGTTTTTGCCCTGAATGAGTCAGTTAACGATTCAGATTAACAAGAGAGCCGAGCCTGGGGGTATCTGGGAGTCGTCGGGAGAACAGCTACGGGCCAGGGCCGTCAGCCAAGGGGCTGCTGGTGCTGGGAGGCCTGGGGCAGGTGAACGGGCGCACGGGCCAGCTTTGTGGGGGACGGGGTGGACGACTCAGCCCAGACCAGACATCTCCCCACCTCGGGTGCTGCCTTGTGGGGTTAACTTTGAATGTCAGAGCCCAGAATTTTCACTCGGGGTCGCCTTCCATCCTGTCCCTTCTTTGGAGAGACAGAAAGCCAGGCACCTGTGTGGGACTGGCCCAGGCCACGAAGTGGCTCCCCAGGTGTCCTGGTGGCACGTGGGGCAGGAGGGTTGTTTTAGTCAGGGTTTCAGAGGAGCAGAACCAGCAGACTGTAACACACATACGGGAATGGACTGTCAGGAACAGGTCCCTGCACTGGCTGGGGCTGCAGACCTGGAGTGTGCAGGGCAGGCGGCAGCCTGGAAACGCTGTGGGGGCTGATGTTGCCATTTCGAGGCTGGAGGCAGGTTCCCTCCTCTCCCAGAAGCCTCCGTCTTTCCTCTTCACGGCCTTTTCTGTTGTTTTGTTTTTTTCATAGCGTTGGAACATACATTTTCTTAGCAGAACTTATTAAGAACATATTACAAAAGAGTTTCAACAAGTCAATGATGGCATACAAAAGAAAGAAATATATATATATATATTTGAGACAGAGTCTTGCTCTGTCTCTCAGGCTGGAGTGCAATGATATGATCTTAGCTCACTGCAACCTCCACCTCCCGGGTTCAAGGGATTCTCCCACCTCAGCCTCCCAAGTAGCTGGGGTTACAGGCACCCGCCATCATGCCTGGTTAGTTTTCATGTTTCTGTAGAGATGGGGTTTCACCATGTAGCCAGGCCGGTCTTGAACTCCTGCCCTCAGGTGATCTGCCCGCCTCGGCCTCCCTAAGTGCTGGGATTACAGGCATGAGCCACTGTGCCTAGCCAGAAATATCTTTGAAAGTACTCATTACTTTCACTTTATTGGGAAGGTGGGCGTTTTTTTAATTTAATAATTGAGGGTATAGCAAATGTTTCTTTTTAATAGATGCTGAGCAGGATAGTAAGTAACTTACATGTTTAATATTCAAAGTTAAGACAGGTGCGGTGGCTCATGCATGTAATCCCAGCACTTTGGGAGGCCGAGGCGGTTGGATTACGAGGTAAAGAGTTCGAGACCATCCTGGCCAACATGGCAAAATCCCGTCTCTACTAAAAATACAAAAATTAGCTGGTGTGGTGGTGCTCACCTGTAGTCCCAGCTACTTGGGAGGCTGAGGCAGGAAAATTGCTTGAACCCAGGAGGGGGAGGTTGCAGTGGGCCGAGATCGCACCACTGTAC